GCTTCTCGAAAGGAGGCTGCCTCATAGAACCCGCGGGCCTTACCTCTATAGGCAAGGCCCGCGCCTTCTGAGAGGCCGGGTGCTTCTGAGAAGCCTTGCCCCCTCCACCTACCCCCCTCTGCTCATGGCTGAAGGCGGCCCCTGAGATCCTGGCGTCTCGAGCAGGGCGTTTTCGGTTTTCGCCCAGTTTGGGGGCCCAAGATCCTCATAGATCGATCCGGCCTGACAAATGGCGCGGGAAATGGAGTCCAGGGCTCAGGTCGTGATTTGTCACGATGTTGCATGCTTTTCACCACACGTCTGATCTCAAGGATAAGACGGCAGGGGGGCTTCTTTAGAAGAAGAAAAAAACGGCAAAAGCATAATCTTTCGGCGGTCCGCGCAATTTCTTGAATCTGAGCCAGGGGCGGCGGCGGAGGCGCCGCCAGGGAGGCCACAACGCGGATCCAAAAGATCCGCGCGGACCCTCGAAAGTTTCTGTTTCTGCCGTTTTTGTTCTTCGATCCTGAGAAGCCCGCCTGGGGTTGCGTCTGGCCCTTTCGGAAACCGCGGCGCCCTCTGAGGGGGCTCTCCCCCTCAGGAGCCCCTCCGCCTTCTTGGAAGGCCGCCCCCCTCGCACCCCCCCATTCGGGCACGCCAGGCGGCTGCACGCAAGAGCGACCCTGGGCAAGAGCGACCGCTGGTGCGCGACATTTTGGGGAGGCCGCGGGAGGCCGAGCTGGAGCGCGCAGGCCGCTGCGGTCGATCCCACTGCGCCCGCACCAAGGGGCACTCCGGCGAAAGGCCACTCTCGCGTGCATGGCCGAACCAGCAGCGTCCTCTCGGGAGCGGCCAAGAGGGGGGTGTCCAAGAGGGGGGGGTGCAAATCATGACTGGCGTCATGTGCGCGGCCCAGCGGGGGGGCCAGGGACGTAATGAATTAAGAAGAGACGCCATGAAATCTTGGGAAATATCATGGCCCCCGCCATGATATCCACCCCCCCTAGTCATCACCCCCCTCTTTGCCCCCCCCCGATCCTCGCGGCGAAGGACGCTCTCGCGGATGCCGGGCCGGACGAACGGGGCGACAGCATCGGGAGAGGGGGAGCTGCCGAGGCCGCTGCTCGTCCTGGCGAGCCCTCGTCGCCACGGCTGGGCTCTCCTCGAGGTGCTCTTGATGGGCATGTGTTCCACCACCACCACCATGGGTTGGAGGGGGGGAGGAGGTGGAGGACGAGGAGGAGAAAGAAGAAGAGAGGAGGACCCCCTCCCCTCCTATACTTATGGTGGTGGTGGTGGAGAACTTGCCAGTCAGCTCTGGTCAAGGCCGCGCTCGGGGATGCGCCCCGATGCTGCGGCGAGCTGCTCTGCTTCCGGCCCGGGCGCTGCGCCTCGACGTTGGCGGGTGTCCAAAGACCCCCCCCCGCGTTGGGAACAGCATCGCGGCGGGGGGGGGGTCGCTATTTTCGGGCTCCGGGGGCCTCTCCTGTCGACGCGGGCGGGTGTCCAAAGACCCCCCCCCCGCGTGGTGAACAGCATCGCGGCGGGGGGGCAGGGCGCCCACAAAGGACGTACGCGCCCAGCTATGTACATGAACGCGGCCCCTTGACCCGCGAGACCGGCAGCGTGATACGCGTGTTCGCGCATTGCGGAATCTCGAAAACAGCGTGGATTCATGTACGTGTACGTCCTTCTTTCGCTCCTGAGGGGGGGGGGGGTCGCTATTTTCGGGCTCCGGGGGCCTCTCCTGGGCCCCGGGGCCGTCAGAAAGCGACTCGGGAGGGAAAACCGATTCCCGGGAAGGGGTCCAGACTTCTGAGGCCCACGTCATGAACAACATCCAGACATCGGGGGTCTGGGGTTCAGGGTTCAGGGGGGGAGGAGGCCTACATGGAGAGGAAAGACAGGGGCCCCACAGGTGCTCTGCAGGGCCCCTTTTTGGGAAGAGGTAGGGATTCAAGATGGTCCCCGAAGGGCTCCTGCCTCCTCCCCCCCCCCCCGTTTAGTCGGGGGTGTTTTTTACCCCCCCTTTAGTAAAACTGGTTTAGTGACAACGAACTTAGGCCCAAACCTGGCGGGTCGCCCACCGGAAAATAACGGACCAACGGCGCCCATCTCGAGAACCGAAAACGGACAATTCACTAATCGACGTTTCACTATTGGGGGTTCTGTCCACCCCCGAATTCAAAATGGTCCCCGAAGGGCTCCTGTCTCCCCCCCCCCCCCCGTTTCGGTCACCCTCCCTCGACACCCGCCCGATCGACGTCGGCCTCCGGGGCCCGTGCTCGGGCCGTGGGGCCGTCACGAGCAGATCCCGGAGGACTGGCCCCGGGAGCGGGGTCGAGACCTCTTGAGCCGCGGCCTCGAGAGACCACATGAGACTACCTACCAGACCACCCCAACCCAACCCGAAGACCCCAATTTCGGGTTGGGGGGGGTACGGGTTCCATATGTGTTTTTTCAATGTTCCCCGATCCCCCCCCACTGGAAATCGACGGTAAATTTGAGCCTTCGGGTTGGGTTGGGGTGGTTTGGTGGGTGGTGAACATTCGGGGATGGACAGACCCCCCTTTCGCAAAACGTGGTTTAGTGAAAACGACCTGAGGCCCAAACCTGGCGGGCGCGAGCCTGGAAAATCACGGCCGCGGCGCCCTCTCGAGATCCGAAGACGGACAATTCACTCATCGACGTGTCACTGTTGGGGGCTCTGTCCAGCCCCGACACGTCAGCGGATGCCCGGGGAGGTGCAAATGGGGAGGGCCGGGGGGAAAAGACTTGCCCCGGGAATGAGGTCGATACCTCTCGGGCCTCGGGCTCAGAAGATCACATCGGTGGATCTGGCAGCGAATCCGCCCGCACGGCTGCTTTCCCGCACGTCTCCTGGCGCCGGGAGGCGCCCGCGCACCGAGGAGAGGCGCCTGGCGGCAAGGCCGGAACCAGCTGCGCGCAGCAGATCTCGTATTATACGCCTCCCTTCGCCACCCCCACTGTCTCCCCACCCTTTCGTCCGACCCGAGGATAGCGCGCCCTTCTGCGAGAAGTCTTCGAGGCCGGGCATATTCCACGCCTTCAAGGGGCAGCGTCAGGGGGGGGCTCATGGGGAGACGCATCGACCCCCAATCGCCCATTGATCGCCGATAGGGACCGGACAGGCCACCCCACCCAGAGACGCGTGGTTCTGCTATCGGGGGCCCGTCGCCTTCCTTCCTATCGGCGATGCATCGCAGATCCCAGCTCGATGTCCCCCCCATGAGCCAGTCCCACCCGACCTAGGGAACAAAATAGGGAACCGAACTCTATACACCGACGTTTTTCTGGCCCTGCACTGAAATTTCCACAGGAAAGCGGATGCTGGTGTATACGGGATCCTCGTGTATACATGTTTCGTTGTTTTCCTTGGAAAAGGGGTGAGCAGTATACACCACACCACCCCGACGTCGTCCCCGACCCTCAAAAAGTCCTGGGATTGAAAGAGAGCCCGCCACTGGTAATGTATATGTTCCAGTTTCCGACAACAAAAAAACATAAACCACATTTCTCGGGGTCCGCGCGAATTTCTCGGGATTGGCGCTGCGCTCCCTCTCCCTAGCGCGCGGAGCGCGCCGGGGGCGGCGCTGGAGGCGCGCCTCCAGGGGGGCCCGGCGCCGATCCCAGAAATCCACGCGACCCTCGGAAAATGATGTTTATGCAACTGATTGCTCTTCGATTGCCGTTGCTGGGCAAACAAAAACAAGATCAATGACGCGATGCCGTTTGGGAAACCATCAGAGTGTTACTTTTGATGAGATACCAAGCAATCGGACAAAAGCGAAGGAGTAACACGCCGACAGGCATCTGACGTCAGCGTGTGATTGATACTCCGGTTCCTTTCCGAATTTAGAAAACCTTCTAGATGGGGTCCGGATATATATATATATATATATATATATATATATATTCGGGGATGGACAGACCCCCCTTTAGCAAAACGTGGTTTAGTGAAAGCGACCTGAGGCCCAAACCTGGCGGGCGCAAGCCTGGAAAATAACGGCCACGGCGCCCTCTCGAAAACCGAAAACGGACAATTCACTAATCGACGTGTCACTGTTGGGGGTTCTGTCCACACCCGATATATATATATATATATATATATAGATGGGGTCAGAGAATCGCGCCGCATCGCCAATGCACCGGCGATGCATCGCCGCCTCCGGCATGGGGAAATTCTGCCTCCACATCGAGCCGCATCGCCGATGCATCGGCGATGCGGCGCGATCCTCCGACACCATCTACTCCGACCCATCTGCTGACGGCTTTTCGGCCCAAGCTCGGGCATCTGGCAGCCGTTCGGGACGCTCCAGCCACCCTGGAACGCTCCCGAAAGAGGTGCAGCTGCTGGAACGCATCCCGCGGCCACGAAGCCGCTCGAAACACCCGAATCCCGACAAACGTCCCGAATCAGACCCCACTTACCCTCGACCTCCGCCTTCGGCACCTTCCGGGCAGCAAGTGCCGCACAGCGGCCACCGCCAGCGCGGCCGCAGAGGCGGCCGCCGTCGAGGCCGCAGCGGCGGTCTCTGCGGTCGCCGCGGCCGCGCCGCGGCGGCACCTGCTGCCCCGAAGGTTCGGAAGGCGGAGGTCGAGGGTATGCTCGGATCCCGTCTGGGAGGCCCAGAGAGTTGCCCCTCGGCCTTCCGCGCCGTGCCGCGGTGCGAGCCGGGCTGGCGCTCCCCGCGCTCGGGCAGGCAGGCCAGCCTCGGGAGCGCCATGCCTCCCTCCGGCGCGGAGGCTCGGGGGCTGCTGCTGAGGTGCCCCTGGCCCAAGGTGCATCCCAGCGCTTCGCTCACCTCTGGAGTCCCTGGGGCCCCCATTGACTACCTTCCAGACCACCCCAACCCAACCCGAAGACCCCAATTTCGGGTTCGGGGGGGTACGGGCTCCACACGTGTATTTCCCAAAGCCCCTTCCCACAGGGAATGGAGGGCAAACTGGGGGCCTTCGGCTTGGGTTGGGGTGGCCTATAGTGGGTGGTGACCCACGGGCCTCGTGAGGGGTGCTTGATCGAGACCGTGGGGGCCTCCTTGGAAATCCTGGGGGCATCACATGGGCGATTTCGGAAACCCTGAGCCCAAAAACGTGTTCATCTCTGGGGGACAGGTCTTTTACTCCCGCCGCCTTCCGCCGCCCCTCCGCCGGCTTCCGCCGGCGGAGGCGGCCTCGTTCTACTTCCGCCGACCCTCCGCCGCCTTCCGCGGCGGAAGAGGTGGCAGCTCCTTCGATCCTCGAAGGCAGGGCCCTCTCTGGAGCGCCCACGCAAGTGGGCCAGGGGCATCTCAGGCAGCACCCAAGAGGCGGCGCGAGCGCGCCCGCAGGCGGGGACCCGGGCGCCGAGCCGCGGGGCCGGCCTGGCTGCGGCGCGGGGAGCCCCAAGATCCCCGCCTTACGCCAACGGCCCCACGAACGCAACGAGAGGAGGAGGAGGAGGAGGAGGAGGAGGAGGAGGAGGAGGAGGAGGAGGAGGAGGAGGAGGAGGAGGAGGAGGAGGAGGAGGAGGAGGAGGAGGAGGCGGAGGAGCGAGGAGGAGGAGCTAGGAGGAGGCGGAGGAAGAGGAGGAGGAGGAGGAGGGGGAGGAGGAGGAGGAGGAGGAGGGGGAGGAGGGGGAGGAGGAAGAGGAGGTCTCCGGAGGCCTCCGGCGGCCTCAGGAGGGCTTGAGGAGGCCTGCGGAGGCCTCCGCCCGTGAGCGGCGATCGAAAGCGGGCCTTGCGTGAGATGACGCAGCGCCCTCACGCGGCGGCTTACGCAGGCCGCTGGCGCAGCACGCCACCTTGGAGGCGAGGGCGCCTGCGCGCGACCTGGCGCGCGGGAATCTTACGCGCGAGTGGCGGCGCAATCGGACCCGCCTGTTTGGGCGCCGCCCACCTGTGGACCCGCGAGAAGGGCCTCACGATGCAGACCCACGCAGGAGGGCCCAGGTGTAGACCCCGGCCCAGCGGACCCTGAAGTGCCGGCCTTCGCGCGAGACCTGGGCACCCTGAAGTGGAGACCCCGACCTGAAGGACCTTGACATGTAGGCCGGCGCGCGAAGGGCAGGGGTCGAATTACCTCTGGGGGCGCGTGGGGCAGGACTAGATCAGGGCTGAACCTAGACGGTGTTTTTCGTTCTCGTTTTGTTCTCGTTGTCCCTCGTTTTGTCTTCAGTCCACCTCTAGCGCAAAACGAAGTCGAAACGAAAACGGCCCACGAAATCGCCAAAAACACCGTTTGGGTCCAGCCCTGGACTACATGTCAGGGGCCGTTTCTTCCTGACCAGCGCCTCCGTGATTTTCGAGAGGGGCGTGTCCACCCCTTGTCGGGCCCCGGGGCCCTCAGAAGTCGATCCCCGTTTCGAGAGAGGTGGCGCAGGAAGATGCGATCCAGGGCTCCGTGGCCGTGATGGTGCACGATGTTGTGTGTGTGTGTGTGTTGTCGCGACGCGGGCTCTCAGCGGAAGGGGGAGTGGAAGAAGGGATCCTGCGGGATCGGCGAGGGGGCTGCTAAGGGGATAGGGGGGTCTGTCAGTGGATGCTAAGGTTGTTTAAACCGAACCAAACCTAGCTTCCAAGTGGGTTACCATTGCCCCAAGTGGCTTATAGGTGGGGTGAAAGATCCGGGCTCAGTGGGCCCTGCACACTTAATGAAATTAGCGACCCCCTGTATGCCACGTAGGGCACCCGTAATCCACTCGTAAACCAAGCTAGGCCAAATGTAACCCACCGGTGCATCCACTGAAAACCCGGCTATCACCTTAGCAACCCAAGGGCCGATTCCAGCAAGCTTCAGGGGGAATCTGGCATGGCATTAGCATTCAGCCTGGATGTGTATGAGGATTGCTCTTGGTATAAGTATTCGAACTGGTTTCTATCGCAGCACTTGCACTGAAGGGGCTATCGCTACTCCTGGAAGGAATTACACAAAATTCGTGGCCGCCTCTGTTCCTGACTGTTCCCGGCTCGGTCATGTGTTCTGCTTGCCAGCAATTCCCCCTCTCAGCTCCTCGTCCGCCTCATCTGCCTCCTCCTCCTCCTCCTCCTCCTCCTCCTCCTCCTCCTCCTCCTCCTCCTCCTCCTCCTCCTCCTCTCCCTACCCCCCCCCCGCCCGCCGCCAGCGCCTTGCCCCAGCTTCGCGGGCGTCGACAGGGCCTTCGCGAGCTGGCCGTTGGGCTTCGCGGCTGCGATGCCCCCCAGGAGCCCGGCCTGCCCCGCAGCGCCCGGAGGAGCAAGGGGGCCAGGGAGAGGACTACCTACCAGACCACCCCAACCCAACCCGAAGACCCGAATTTGACCCGAATTTCGGGTTGGGGGGGGTACGGATACCATGTGTTTTTTCAACGTTTCCCGACCCCCCCCCACTGGAAATCGAGGATAAATTTGGGCCTTCGGGTTGGGTTGGGGTGGTTTGGTGGGTGGTGAGGAGAGGACGGCCAGCGCACCAGGGGCCATGGCCCCGAGGTGCATGCGCGGACAAGGGGCGAGGGGGGGGGCAAGGGAGCGCAGTGCGTAGTGAATGGAAGGGGCAGGAGAAGAAGCAGAAGCAGAAGAAGCAGAGGAGGTCGTGAGATCTGGGAGATCCCATGGCCGCGGTCACGATATCCACACACAGACAAACACACACAGCTAGTCCTGGCACCTCCCTCTGGGGCGGATCCCGTCTTGAGGGCCCCATGGCCCGATCGGAGGCCCGAGGGGCAGAAATCGAGAAAGACCGGGATCGAAACAGTCCTTCGAGGAGCAACGAAAACCGTACAAACGTAAGCGGTCGGACATCCGCGCGGAATTCTGGGATCTGCGCTGGTCTCTCGTCCCTGGCGCCGCCAGGGGGGCCCAGGGCCGATCCAAGAAACCCGCGCAGGAAACTGTTGTTCCGGTCGGATGGCCGATTCTGGAAAACCCGAACCGACAAAAAGACATGCCGTCTCTTGGGTGGCCGACTTTTGCTTCCGGGCCTTCCGCCAGCCATCCGCGAGATGCCAACTCATTCGATCCTCGAGAGCATGTTTTTATTCGCGGCCATAACGGTCGTCTGGGGGGGAAGGGGGGGGGGACGGGGGGGGGGGGCATAACGTAACGCCTCCCCCCCCAGACTGTGATGCACTCGGGCAGTGCCAAGAACGCATTTGGCGGTGCCGGGAACGCACCGAGCGGGGGAGCGTTATGTTATAGGGGCTGGGGGGAGGGGGGGGGAAGGGGAGGGGGCATAACGCGCGTTATGGCCCAGAAGGTGTAAAAAACACTCCCCTCGAGGGCGATGCTGTCTCTGGAACGCCTCAGGTCGTCCGAGGACTGGGACTTCGGGGCCCCCGAGCCTTCGGGGCGATGGCGGCGATGACCCCGCCGGGCTTGGCCAGGGCGGCGCCCTTGGCGAGGGGCACCTTCTCAGCGGGCAGCGGGGGCAGCTTCACCTGCGCTGTGCCGTTGCCGCCGCCGCAGGGGGAGGGTGGGGGGAGCAAAGCGGATGCCTCATCAAACCTCCTCGGGGCTCAGAAGACGGGAGGGTCCATGCAAACGAGGGCCAGCCGGAGCGCCAGATCTTGCAGGATCCTACAGGGCCAGGGGTGCATTGGCCCAAGCTGGCGCGCAGGATCCTGCAGGATCCTGTGGGACCATGGAGGAGGAGGAGGAGGAGGAGGAGGAGGAGGAGGAGGAGGAGGAGGAGGAGGAGGAGGAGGAGGAGGAGGAGGAGGAGGAGGAGGAGGAGGAGGAGGAATTGACCCTGGTTTGCACTGACCCGGGCCGGTGCGTCCCCGACCTCTCGGGGCCACACGGGGGCCTCTCGGGGGCCTCTGGGGACCTCTTGGGTGCGCCCTGGGCGCGTGGCGGCGGCCTCCGGGCGTGCCAGACCCGATCCAGACGGCCCAGGTCCCAACTGGACGGTCCAGATCCCCACCAGCAAAAAAAAAACAGAGCGGGCCAGATCCCAACCCCTCTGATTTCAGCTTCCAAGCGCTCGAAGCCCTTGATACGCGCTACGTAAGCGCCTGATACGCGCCTTCTGCGCGCCTGACAGGCGCTTCCTTGAAGGCGCCTCCTCGGTGTCGCGAAGGATCCCCATCGATTCCTCCAAAGCTTCTTGAACGATTCCTGTGGACTCTCGTGGTGATTTCCAGCTAAGATACCGGAGGGAATCCTCTGAGGATTCCTTGGGGATTCCTGAGGGAGTCCACTGGGTTTCCTGAGGTTCCCCCATTGATTCTTGAAGCCCCCTGCAAGGTACCAAATTGGTGTTCCCTAAAAATGTTCAGGAACCCTGTGGATTCCTGACACAAATTACTGCGGGATCCCTGAAGAATTCCTGAAGGATTCCGCCGGCTTCCGGAGGATGCCCCCAAAAAATCCTGCAGATTCCTAAGAATTCCTGGAAGATCCTGAAAGGATTCCTAAAGAATGTGTCAAGAATTCCTGACCATTCTGACGAGTCCTGAAAGATTCCTGGAGGACTCATAAGGACCCCATGCAGGATGACTCCGGAATGTCTGACGGATTCCTAAGGATTCCTGCTGTTTCCTAACGAATGCGGAAGGATCCTGGGGGGGTCCTGATGGGTCCTGACGGATTCCTACAAAGGATTACATAAGTATTCCTGGGGATACCTGGAGGTTTCCTGAAGGATTCCAGGAGATTCTTGAAAGATTCCAGAAAAGGGTTCCTGTGAGATTCCTGACGATTCCTTTGAAGCTTCCTGAGGGATTCCTCGTGGATTCCTGATCGGTTTCCTGATGGATTCCTGACGGACTCACCCGGAGGATTTCCGAAGGATCCCTGACAAATCCTAGAGATTCCAGCGTTCCCGTCGGGCCCTCTGGGGCCTCCTAGGCGGCTATTGGGGCCTCCTGGATGCCTCTTGAAGGAGCTCCAGAGCTCCTTTTGCGAGCGGGCGATACGTTTGTATACAATTCTAAACGCGCCGATCCCTGCCTCCCGCAGGATCCTTCAAAATGCTATCTGTTTCTGAAATCCAGTGGGCATGCGCCGACCCTCGCCTCCTGCAGGAATATTTGATCGTCGGGTTTGCATTCAACTGGGATCGGATTTCAAACACGCCGATTCCAATCTCCCTCTGTATTATCACATGTCTTCGTTGGCTCTAAAAGCCAAAATCCGTCGGAACACCCGCCGACACCCGCACCAACCAACATTATAGTCTTATATAAAAGTTTGCTTTCAAAATTGGACTTAGCTACGAGATGCGTCGACCACTGCCGCCAACATACTTCGTCCATAGTGGACTTGTTGCTGCATTAAAGAATCCAACAACAAATGCGCTGGACCCAGCCAGCCGCAATGTGTCGGAATACCTCCGGTTTCTCTTCAGTACGAAGTCAATCGGAGCTGCGTTTATCGCAGCCTCCAGCATACAAACTT